GAATACATCATGTGTGTATTGACCAGAATCGCTGGCATTCCCTATGACGCGCTATGAGTTTGTAGAATTTTTGAGACTTTATAGGGTTCGTCTAGTCAGAATTTCCGTCGGGATGTTTTATGTGGCAACGACCGACAAAGCACTATAGTCTACCTACTTGTGGAGGTTTGGCACTGCTCGTCTCGGTGGGGGCTAGGCTGGTCTGGGACTTCTGCTTCGCAATTTGTCAGGGCTTAATGATCGGGCAGCAACCCTCGCGCGCTCGCCGCGCCGTCTCGTCGCTAAAGCATGTGCTAAAGTCGGGCATAAGTAATTGTCGGGCTATTAGCTGAAAAAAGTGTTAATTGACAGTAGTGTTTAGCTTTGAGATTGTTTGTCCTCTCATGATAGGGCCTTAGGTGTAGGCCTTGAGGCCTCACTAATCAGAGGTTAAACTGTGTAGAAGTCTTCTCATGACGTAAGGCAAACTTTCCACACTCTTTCAGCAATAGTAGATGTTGAACATTGGCATATATGTCGAGATATAATTAGTGATAAAGTACTTAAAGTTATATCTGTATAATATATTCGTGGAAGAGCCGATGTTTCGTATATCACTTGCAGTTTTACTTAAGGTACCGGTCGTTTGGATTCGCCTCCTAATAGCGAGTTTGCATAGGTCTTCATATTGAAGGCGGCGTTTTCCCTATTTAAGATCAACATTTTAACTTCAAGCACTGTTCGCAAACCGAACCACATCTATCACTCTACTTCCTTCTCATGAATTCAATGCCAGAAGTTTTGTTATTTAATCATTGATGTTTAATACTCTTGGTTACTGGATAATACCCTTCGGTAGTTTAATAGTATTTGAATTTAATACCCAAATATTGTTGTCTTTTTATCATTTGTGGTGGGACACTTTAAGGGGTTTAAGGCCTTGTATCGGTCCTATCCATCAGAGTTCATTCTTATACTATCTTTAACTCTCGCTTATGACTCGCCCAACGGGTATTGGAATCAGACACAAATGGATGCACTTATCTATCGGAGTGGGAACTTTGGCTTAAGAGTGTACAAGGCCGTGTGATTGAGCTTTCACGTCAGAAATCCATTCCGATGATCAAGCGCTTCTATGGTAAATCATTCACATATCAACAGATTACGACACTAGAAACTAAGAGGCGACTTAGGGATCGTCCATAATACTTGCGGGACTTCTGATGCATTTGGCACGTTACCGCCCATTCATACGGAGTGTGTCATCAAGGACTGTCGTTTGGACATGAGCCGTTAAGTCCACATATAAGATTGCTTTATTTATGCAGTGACTTGTGCCGAAGGAACTGTTGTGTCAACTGTATCAAATGATGTTAACTATTAGCCCGAGGTTAGCGTGACATATGGATAAGGTGCTTGAACATACACATATAGTAATCTATTACAAATCGAGATTGCATAAGGTATTGCGGACTAAGCCTTTGTAAGTAGTCAATATTGCTTGGAAATATATCTGTGCAATAATAATACGTAGATGTACCCAATTTTACACTCTATGCAATAAAGACAAAAGACAATAGTCGCAAAGAGGAAGGGCATTACATGTATAAGGCGACAGGTAGATGGTATTAGAACATACCCATCGAAGGTAATCTAATACCAGATTTACCACGAATCATCGCGAAAGAGCTCAAAAAAAAAAAAAAAAAAAAAAAAAAAACCCGTAGGGTGGAAAAAAAGCAAGGGTGAGTGGCCCTGGAAATAAATTTAATAAAAACCTCTTAATTGTTATAAACCTCTTGCTGTGACACCTGTATAGTTCCAAAAAAAAAATCATACACATATCATTAAAATCAAAAGTACATCAACAGTAAATCTCGAGGCAATGAGAGTTAACTTATATCGTACAACGCGGATAAGGAGCCATGCTTCGTCTATGTTCATTGTTCCATATCTTATGGGTATGTTGTCCACAAAAGGTCTGTAAAGGCTCATATATAGAAGGGTGCATATGAGAAAGATAGATTGACAACTTAAGCATTAAGAAATCTCAATGCTAGCAGATACCTACCAGCATGTTAATCGAATAGTGCAACACGCTATAGTGACCTGTACACTCATCGGATCATTCTCATCAATAGCAATGACCTATTAAGCACAATACGGTATGGAGAGGAGAAGTTATCACGTCCGCAGGATAAAGGCTTAGTTCTCCATCCAAATCGCATAGGAGAAGGCTTGACTACACTTTTAGGGCTTTACAAGGCTAAATCATAGACTGTCGGGTTGAGCAGAAGGTTTGTTGCTTCTCGCATTATGCTTTGTATTTGATTTTGTGGAACGTGCTTCGTTTAATTCCTGGATTTTCTTTCTTTCCATTATATTCAGCGGACAATCTTACTCTCCTTCATCAAGGTCCTTAGTTCCCTGCACACGACGTCTCTGTAAACCACTTAAGACATGCAGCTGTTGGCTCCTCGTGAATGCACGAGTCAGGGTTCTGGGGGGTGGCATGTGATAAATAATCATCAACATCCAAGAATGATATCGATTGACATTCGTTGATTGCAACGCACTTATAAAAGTTGGCTCTTTGTCCATTGGGGCCATGAGCACTAATTCGATAACGCGCAGGTGCATGATAATGAGCATAAATGCATAAAAACATAACCATACACACTGAAATCACTATCATTCAACATGATATGCTAGATACTACCTACCAACTTGGACCTGCTTACTCTGGGTTGGTGCCTCAAACGTCAGTAAGCTATTAGGGGTGGTCTTCACTGCGTCTGCACCACCAGTCAGTATAGAGCCTTTTCCTGCTCATTGAGTTGCTTTTTAGACTGGGGAGAACTACCTGTGCATATTATTTCCCATTTTGCCGCCGTCCTGTTTTCGTGAGCCCACATGCATCTCATTTCCTTGGCCCATACAGGTTGCGAAGATATTGAATCTCCTCAACAGCATAGGTAGTATACAACATATCTCCCATAAACATCCTTCTTTTCTTTCATACTTCGCACTACATCTCCTGATACAAAAATCATATGTAAACTCTTTATCTCTCTCGTTGTTAGAAAGAGTTGTTGGTCTCTCGGACTTAACAAAAATACATATACTCAAGTCTCACCGTTAAGCTTCCTCTTCAGCAAATCTGCTCTTGAATTTTCTCATTATTTTGTTTTCACACGATATTGCCCTTTCATATACAACATTCTCTTCCTGCAATGTCACCTCCCTCAATTGTGCTTGTCCACAAATGCAAATGGGAAGTATTAAGAAAGATTAAAACATCGCCTTTTTGATACGCAAACTTAAACTACGCAACTCCATAGCCAAAAATAAACAATCACACAAAACGTGATAGCAAACAAAGAAAACGCATTTAATCCAGGACATCCTTGAATTTTTTAGCTTAAAGAACAAATTTTTGATACAAAATATATTGCCGCAAGCGATACTAATAAGCTTTCAGGAGTGAAACTTATTTACCATGAACATTTCATAAAAAACACAGCCAGAAAAAATAATCAAGAGAGGAAGTAAAAATAGAGGTAAAGATCTACCAAGAGATTACAAATTAGCACAAATAAGGAAGTAGAAACTCCCTAATCCAAAAGCAGAAAGATTGATAATTAGCCTAAAAATTTGAGGAATAGTAAATTTACTTGAACTGGAGGAGAATCTAAGGAAGTTGAAGCGCTGCCTATGATTTTGGAATTTCCGGTGAATCAGTGGGCTTAATCGACGCAATGAAAGATATGCTTACGGTGAACATGGCCGATAGCTTCCACTACGACCTTAAAAGAATTAGAAAGAAAATTTAACTTGACTAAGAGAGACCTCAATGATCTAGCTCAATTCATCGTTTAAGAATCGGTCGAACTGTGACTCCGTCACTCCATATCTAAACAAAAGTAGAAAACCAAACCAAGTTTAAGAAAAATTGTGCGCGCCCAAAGAGAACATTCAACTGTATAAGTGAACCTTAACTCATGCCATTTTAAATTGACATCCTGCATGCCCGTTCGTATCATGTGTCCATGGACATTTAGTTGTAATGCTAAAACTCAAATTCTGTCCTAAGTATAAAAAAGTTGCGAACATATATATATACATCTTGAAATGAAAATTTCACATGGTGATCCAGAAAGCAGCATAAAAGAAACTTTCATTTTGCGCTTCAACAGCCTCATTCTTCCTTCCTGCAAGATTTCGAACAAATCTGTAAAATAGAGTGAAAAAGTAAAATAATAAATTATCATGCAAGAACTAAAGAAACAGAAAAACGAACTCGATTCATACTCCCCTAATTAGTTTAATTAACTTAAGTACTTGCCTGAAGGGGTAAGAACTTATCCCAAGGAATTGGATAGTGTCAATTTCTCCAAGCACTGTAATCAAAACTGTCTACATTCTAAACCAACATATAGTCTAACCCAACCCAAATTATATGCAGTTTATTTAATAATGCAATCATCTTGCAAACAGAAACAAAAGAGCTCTCTATGAGCTCTTGAAAACTAATCATATTTCTAAGATCCTTGTCAAGAATCACTTAGTTGAGAACTTTCTCAAATAAGAAATAATTAATGTACTTATCGGTTTCAAACAATTATAGTCTTACAAATTCTTTTTCTTGGTCAATGTAGTTTTTTTTTTCACTTCAAAAAATTTGAAAATGAAGGGCAATCATATTGAATAAAGCAACTATCTGAACGTTCATATAATTTTCTATCTTTATGCAAATGCATTTCCACATATTACCATGAATGTCTGGGTGAACCACTATTCTAGACCAACCAAACATCAATTCATTATATTAACGTTTCATACATCAATTATCATGATATTATCAAAGTGACTTAACCTCTAATTTGCATAATATTATCATGATTCACAACATCCCTAAACTTTCAAAAACCAGATGACCAAAAGCATTGGTGTAAATTAACCATCCAACTGGAGAGTAATTAAAACAAAAGCATAGAAAATTATATACCTCAAAATGTCAGCAACAAAATTCTTCCTCCAACGACCCAAAATTCTGAAACTCCAAAAAAAAAAAAATGGTAAACCCATTAGCAATTCATAGCCAAAAAGAAAAAATGGACAACAGTAAAACATTGGTGACAAGCCATCTCTCTTTTTGCTTATGTATTTGAAAAGATATTTTATAAGCAGTTTATGGAGTCATTTTGATCACGTTGCATGTAAATTCCTTTCCACAGTTTGAAAAATATGGCAATTTATGGCATCAATTGAATAACATGGTTGAAAGATTTAAAACTGATACATTCAATTTTTACCCATATCAATCATGTGCTATTAAAAGTTTATCGATGTAAATAGATGATTTCAATCATGTGATAACATAGTTTGCTTCAACCTAAATGCATGTGCATGCAGATGTTTGTTAATGCATCTCTAAGTAGATGGTTAATCAATTCAAAATACTTCTTTGTCAATTTGCCACTGAACTTTAAGATGAATGTCACTTACATTATTTGAATTAGCCAATATACTCACTCTTGTTAAAAATCTACACATTCCACCCAGTCAGAATAACATTGACAAAACCGATGGCCTCATTTTAACTTCAAAAACAAAATAAGCAAATACAATTTTGATTTGAGATAAGAAAAAAAATGACAGCAACGATGGAAAAGAAGTGACGACCAAGTTTAATAATACAAAAATCATAAACCGTATACTGAAATTCAGAGAAAATACAAACAGTATCTCCAAAGACACTTAATTTGCATGGATCACAACAGAAAGGGTATAGAAAAGAGGAAAAAATTAGGATTAGAGTTTGGCAGTTCTCGCCCAAATTTGGTCTCAATCGAGCACTCTCACCTACATGCATTCAGTACAATAAGAATTTAAGAATACAACTGAAAGTAAATGAACTAACCCAATGTCAATGGAAATATAAATTGTAATTTGTAACTCACGTACCAAGTGGCATTGATCCTGAGAAACGTTTGATGACTTCTATATTGGACACGGGAAAATGTCAACAGCACAGGCTTGTTAATTGAAGTCGTCAACATCAGAACAGCTCCTCCTCTGGAATTGACTTTCACAAAGGAAAAGATGCTTCTTAGAGAAATGACTTATGTCACAAAGATGGTGACAATCACTCCTGACAAGTGAAACACTTGCTTGATCCCTGCTGGATGTAGCTGCCTATTAGAACAAAGCTACACAGCTACACAATGTATGCATAGTTTTTCATTGTTCTAGATTTTTTAAGTTCCTATGTATCTTCTCCTACATATATGAACCTAAATAAATACAAATCATACAATGGTTGAATTCATTATGACTTAACGTTATTTATCAAATAGGAAACATCATAACATGCTTTACCTAAAGGATTATATCAAGAAACAGTTAGAAGAAAAAAAAAAATCACATTATATGTCATGACTGAGAGAGGTCTATTTGTAAGGTACTACAGAACCTCAAGGTAAATTCACCGTCACTGTCAAGCAACCTCAAGCTAATTCATACGGAGCAGCAAAGATACACAAAAACCTATTCAACAGCTACATTGCTATTTGGACAATTACAAATAAACAGATGCACAAAAACCTATTATGTAGTACCTAAGTCATGAATCATGACTGAGAGAGATGATAGTGAAAAGATGATTTGGAGAATCCACTTTCCGTGAGGCAACTGGCTTTCCTCCACTACCTTTACAAAGATTATAAAACATAAAATAAGAGTAACTATAGGACAAACAGAAGTCATAAGGAACAATAACGCTGAATAAAAGTTACATATCTAGCAAATATATATGTTTCTAGAGTCTGGTGGTGGGAGAACCGAGATTCCCTCATTGGTTCATGCCCACAACAGTGCATTATCATGAGTGCAGGGACAAAATGGTTTTGGCAAAGTTTATGCTCGACTAAATATCACAAACTACTCATCTCCAGTCTCGACGTGGCTTAAGCAAGACTAGGCCAATGTTCAATAGTATTAATAGTAATAAAAACAAAATCAATTTTTTTTTTTATCAAGGTAAAAACAATGGGAACTCCGCCGTGTAAGTTTATCTTACATTGCCGGTCCCAAGCCCGGATAAAGGAGGAGGGGGAGGGCGTCAGGTAGTCGACAGCCGGCACTCCATGATCACGTCGAATCCTTATGAAAGGTAAAAACAATGGGGGTAAGGCTAGCCGACATTCACCTCTCCCAGACCCTGCGTAAAGTGGGAGCCTTGTGCACTGGGTACAACCTTTAAGGTAAAACAATGTGAATAAATTCATTTACACAACTTTATCAAAAGTAGAAGCCATATGACTAGCATTGGGAACAAAAAAATTCAAAAGTAAGGATGGAAGGAGAACGCCAAACTTAAATAAAACGATAACAAAATAGGAAAAGAAGAAAGCTTACAATCCACATATATGTTTTTTATTTCCTTTGTGTCATAATCAGGCGACGACATACACTGCAAGCCCGGACTTCTTATACCACTCTCTACCTTCCCCGCAATTTCCGGGATTTTAACGGAAGGTTTCTCATCTGCACAGTCATCTTGCCCAGGTGTTGAATCAGCTGCATATGGCTTAGTAAGCTGAGACAGAAAGAACAGAGTAGCATTATAACGACTCACAGGGCTCAGTCTCAAAAACAACAATTGGAGTTTCAAAAGAACATAAAAAGGAGTAACCAGGAAAAAGATTTAAGTCAAGTGAATACCGATATATACGAGGACAAACCGAAAGCTTTCCCATAACTGTAGGATTACATCAAGGCTCATCCTTAAGTCCTTACCTTTTTGCGTTGGTAATGGATGAGTTAACAAGACATATTCAAGATGATATTCCTTGGTGTATGCTTTTCGCAGACGATATAGTGTTGATAGATGAAACTCAGGAAGGGGTAAATGCAAAGCTTAACCTTTGGAGAGAAGTGTTGGAATCTAAAGGTCTTCGCCTAAGCCGATCAAAGACAGAATATATGGAGTGCAAGTTCAGTGCAAATGGAGGCCAAAACGAGTTAGGGGTGAGGATCGGAGATCAAGAAATACCAAAGAGCGACCGTTTTCGTTACCTAGGATCTATCTTGCAAAAGAACGGAGAATTAGATGGAGATCTCAACCATAGAATACAAGCTGGATGGATGAAGTGGAAGAGTGCATCCGGCGTGTTGTGTGATCGCCGTATGCCACTGAAACTCAAGGGAAAAATTTTATAGGACGGCAATAAGGCCGGCGATGCTGTATGGCACAGAATGTTGGGCGGTGAAACATCAACACGTACACAAAATGAGTGTAGCGGAGATGAGGATGCTTCGTTGGATGTGTGGGCACACGAGAAAGGATAAGATTAGGAATGAGGATATCCGGGGTAAAGTAGGAGTAGCCGAAATTGAAGGAAAGATGAGAGAAAAATCGGTTACGGTGGTTTGGACATGTGCAAAGAAGGCCTACTGACGCTCCGATTAGAAGATGCGACTATGGGACAGAGGTTCAGGGCCGAAGGGTAGAGGAAGACCTAGGAAAAACTTTGGAAGAGACTCTAAGAAAAGACTTAGAGTACTTGGATCTAACGAAGGACATGACACAGGATCGAGCACAATGGCGTTCTAAGATTCATATAGCCGATCCCACTCAGTGACTTGGATTTTCCAAGTCTCCAACCGAGAAGTTTTCCTCACTCGGAAATTAAGGGAACACTACCCCAACCTACATGCTCCACTCAGAAAGCTTCAACATACAAGCTTCAACAAAAGAAATTCAAAGACCTTAGCGAAGAAGGCTTTGGTGTATTTAAACACAATACGTTGAAATGAAGGAAAGCTTATTTATTGATATCCCCGATAAGCTACAAATATGTACATATACATGAGTCAATAAACACACAAGAAGGAGCCTTCACAAAGGTTTGCTTAGGAGAAGTCTCAGCAGTCGGTAGAGCCCCAAGAAAGAGAAGGCACCGGAGGGGATCATTTGGAGCCTCAGTACTGGCACCCTAGAACCCTAGGAGGAGGCATCAGAGGTTGATCATTCGGAGCTTCATTACGCGTACAGCCCCAGAAGACGAAGGCAATAAATGCCTTTGGAACAAACCCACAAATCTCTGATGATCAAGTAAAACCTGACCATCAGTTTCCTTCATTTGGTCAAGCTTCCTCTTCATGTTTGTAGCATAGTCATGTGCGAGCCGGTGCAACTGTTTATTCTCATGCTTGAGCCCTCTAATCTTCCTGTTTGAGACTCATCACTTCAGCCGCCAATGATTCAA